GGCAAGACCCAGAGACTCCCCAGAGATCCCTCTTACACACCATGTATATATTTTAACAGGGAGGATGCAGCTTAGAGCCACTGGGCCACACAGATGGATTTGGTACAGCCAGGTGTGGTGTTGAACCTAGGGAAGCAACACTTCCTGGGCCCCATTGTGGGCATTAATGAAGTGCTGAGGTCAGTCATTCTTGTACTCCTCATAGCTAAAGAGAGGGGACATGTGGACCCACAGCTGCACCCAGCACGAAGGAGCATTTCTCCTCAGACAGACACAGCTGGACTCAAAGAAATGGAGCTGTTAATTCAAGTCCCCCTTGCAGAAACTGCTCRTGCTGAATCTCAGTTCTGCATGCTTCAAACCCAATCCTTTGTGCCTGAGTCTCTCCTAACYCCAGCTCTACAGCTGTGGAAATTTGGGAGGAGTTTCTAATATGTAAGAAAGAAGTATGTTCACTTAGTAATGGCTGATAAGCCACACCAAAAAGAACTTAGTTGAGTAAGGCTAGAAAACAGGAGGAATGTTTTACTGAGGCTTCCTGTATAGGAAATGTACTCTGTGTCCTTCTTTCCACTGTGCTTGAGCAAGCAACATATATATTTTGTCATTGAAAACCTAGAAAGTCCTCGTCCTCCTAATACTTCTAGCCTAAGAAACAAWAGGTGAAAATGCATTGAGCACCATGAGGAACAACATGGTCTCAAGATGCCTTGTGCTTGTCCCTGCTGTTCCCTTCATGGTGTGGAGATAAGCTGGATATGCGACATGATTTCAGATCCTTCAGAAAGCTATCCCTGCTATTTGTTGAAATGTGTCATCTCCCTGCTGAAGGATCTACCTCTGCTTTGTTTCGCCCACTGTGACAAACACGTGTGTTCTGATGTTTCAGGGGACAACTACTGGGTGATTGACACYGACTATGATAACTATGCCATCACCTACGCCTGCCGCAGCCTGAAGGAGGACGGCTCTTGTGACGATGGATACTCCCTGATCTTCTCACGCAATCCCCGTGGCCTCCCCCCAGCCATCCAGCGCATTGTGCGCCAGAAGCAGGAAGAAATCTGCATGTCTGGCCAGTTCCAACCTGTGCTTCAGTCAGGTACTTCAGCTAATTAACAAACTCTCTGAATTGTACAGTAGGTGAACACACTTGCTGTTTATGTCACAGAACCACAGCAAATTCAGTTCTACTTTTAGCAACCTTTTCTTAACGTTAGCTCTAATAAGAGTTACAAAGGGAAATCCAGGCAAAGATGAGAGCCTGTTATAGGCGTTTTCTGCAGCCTTGAGGTTGCCCTTACAGSAATCCTGTGTTGAAATTGCTACACCTTTGTTACTGTAGCAGTAGACAGGACAGGGACGGCTGCTGCAAGCTGTACTTGGAAATGCTTGTCTTGGCCACTTCATTAAAGCATCTTACCTTGGGTCTGCACACTGTCCTCCAGGAAAGGATGAGAAGATGCCTTCAGGAAGGACCATCCTCGCAGTCCATCATGACCTGTGTCCTGTGTGGTCTGAGCAGCAGGGATGAGGGGCTCTGAGCAGCATTTCTGACTGGGTCTGCTGGCAGTAGGAGTCAGCAGTTGCACCACATACGTGCAAACAGAATATTTTTCTGGAGGTCCAGGAATTGATCTTCTAGTTCAAATGCTGTCAGATGATAGGCAGGTGATTTTTTAGGCTGTGCTGGAGGCAGAAATTCCTCTTTGCTGGCAGTTGAGCACTCACACCCTTGACATCCTCACTGCCTTGCCTGGAGGTTGATCCTTCATAAGCCACAAAACACACGTTCCACACTGTGGGACAACAAATGGCAGCCAAAACTTGAATAGTACAGCATAGTGCCAGCCAGTCCTCCACTATAGGACAGGTCCTGGCACCATCCAAGGCAGTGTGCATGGCATGGGCATCCCTGCCCCATAGCCCCCTGTGCTGCTCCTCTAGCAGARGGACAGCAGCTGGTTTGTGGGCTCAAGGCTGGGTGCTCAGCAAAGCTGAAAGYCCATGGCTAGCTGGAAAAGGCTGCCCCAGTCTGTGCCAACAGACACAGAGCAATGCAAAYAGCAACTTCTGCAACCCTAATCTTGCACTGCGATTCAGAAGTACCCTAGGAAGGTTGTAGCTATAGCTTCACTGGAGACTAAAAGGCTGTTGAAGCACTTTGCAAATTTACTTACATAGACTAAAGTTTACTTTTCTTTCTTTCTTTCCAGGGGCCTGCTAAAAGTACGCTTCTGATGCTATCCTTAAGCACAGAAACCAGACCTCTTGGTCTCGAAGTTGCCACTCAACTAATAATAAAAAAAAATCATAGTATGGAATAGTGTGTTTTTCCTGAAAAACACATGAAAATATTGGGGGATCTGTAAACTGTGTGCAATATAATAGAAATATTTCAATTTTCAAGGTAATACCTAATGTGGCATTTGTCAATAAATGTTTTTGAAAAAAAATAGAACTTCTGGAACTGTTTTTCTTACCTCCTGTCCTGTCTGATGGGGAGCAGAARGACTGAGGATGCTCATTGAGGAGAGGTGAGACAGCATCCAAGSGTGTTCCTGGCACAGATGGGGAAGTGTTGCTCCCCAGAACAGAGCAGGGGAGCAGGGCAAGGATGGTGAGAGGGGCAGGTCCCCTGACAGTGCTGAGCATCAGACAAAAGAACAGTGACGTGGTGTGTCTGGAAAGTCCAGCCAGCCAGCGAGGGCMGCTGGGCACAGGGCAGGGCACAGGCACGCCAGTGAGATGGCTCCAGCCAAAAACAGGACTGGAAAGCGTGTCTGAGGCAGAGCTACCTGCAGCAAGATTCCCAAGTGAAGAACCACAAATGCAATAAAAGAGATGCTACTTTCAATAGCATTGGACACAGCATTGTTTTAAATGAGTGGGTGCTTGCACTTCTAATGGCATTACCAGCAATTTGCTCCCCTTTGCCTGCATAATCCAGATGTCAGTACCTGAAAGGCATACAACTGAAAGAAACAGAACAGACTGGTTTTATGGCCCAGAATTTCAAAGACAGAGAAAATCAAAAGAATAGTACCCACATAGAAAAAGGGTAACCCAAGTCAGCATTATTGACATGTATTTCCCACTGCTTTCAGTAAAATCACATTCACTTTGTGTTTCCTAGTAATAAAATTACCAGTCTAGAACACCCCCAGCACACTGCTGAACCCTGCAGTTTGTCAACGACACAAACTTTTACAATTTATAAAATTACCAAGCACAGAAGTAGGACCAAGCTGAACAGCCCTTACTCCTGAGGCTTCCAAATGGTGTGTGGCACAAGGCTGATGTTGATTGAAGACTTTCAGAGCATTCAGTGCTAAACAGCTTCTGCAAGATGCTCACACAATTTTATCTAGAGTTACTGCGAAGTGCATAGAAACAAAAGACCAGACACATTCTCCAGGACCAGAGACATTATCTCACACATGCAGCAAAGTCTCTCAAATTTTATTTCCCAGGATTTCTTGGCAATACTTGTAAGGCTCTCAACTGGCTTGAGCAAAGGTGTTCCCTGCTCTTCAGGTCTGGGGTAAGTTACCCTGACAGCAAACAAGATGGTGAATTACCACCTGAAGCTAAGGACAGAAACAGAGGAGCACTAGCAGGCAATGCTAACAAAATCCCATACAGATAGGTAACTACTGAGTGTTGAAAAAATCCCAGCCTTTTTTGCTGAACTAAGTGCAACGTCAGTGCATTGATTGAATGTTCTCCACTTGTACCCTATTCCGATCAGGAATTACTGGGGTGGAATCTGTGAACTTAGGACTCACATAACAACTGATTAGACAACGCTAACCCTTAGCTGAAGAAGTGTGGCCTTTGGCCAGAACTTTCAGACCAATACTATCACTCTTTGAGAAGTGGGATTTTTTTAATGTCTGTGGTTATAGTAACTGTATGACCAGAGCATATGGGAGTTGTAGCGAGACAATCACTACACAGAACCAAGTGCATCCTTATTGCGCTTGGGGTAGCCTGTCCAGATGAGTTAGGCAGTGAAATTTCTCCTCAGCCACGAGGTTAAACCTGCAGGATCGCATAAACATAGTGGTGATTCTGGATGAAGCAGGCACCACAGAGTTTACATGCCCCAGGAAGATGACTTGTACTTGGGCAAGCATGTTTCCATCTGGACTACAATCAAGCCCTCACTTGTAATGTGGTGAGTTAATGAACAGATGGGAGTTACCTCGTATCTATTTCTCTCCAATGACTGCAGGGAATGTGAAAGACAAGGTAGTGTAGAGCAGGCAGCCACGAGTGTATTGTGATGAGATTCATACTTGCCTTGGAATTCTGTTGAGTTCAACATGAAATATCTGGGGTATATCTAGGGGCAGACATCTTCTGTCTGCTGTTTGAGCTGGCCRATGAAAAGTAGTCTACTATTTCTGTGTTGAAAGTGTGTGTATAGGTCCCAAGTCATAATCTCTGTCCTGCATAAACTCTCCACTAACAAGACAAAATAAAGAAATTGTTTATGCATTAAAAGGACTGTTGTTTTGTCCTCAAAAGGTCCTTTAGTGCTGGCAGAAACACCATGACTGCTCCACAGCAGGAGGGACCCTGCAAGGATATTGTCCTTCATACACCAGTGAACCTTCTCTAGCAAGGACACTGCAAGTCCTGAGATCAAACACTGTAATACTACCTTGAGTTTCACCAGTTTCCCCTGGGTTGTGGTAACTGAGGCAATCTGTGCCTTTARCTTTCTACTTCAGCCTTGACATTGTTTATAGTAAGATTCCCTTTATGCTTCAGTTTTATGCAATGTTGGAACTCAGACAAGTCCACCTGCCTTCAACATCTTGTGCTGTTAAGACACTGGAAGCAGCTGTGTGGTACTTTTTTGCTGGCTGGGGTTAAAATATGACAGTCCTCAAGAGCAGTCTTTACTTCCCAAGATTAAGTTGTTGATATAAAGAGTTTTAAGCAGTTTCTACACCACAATGATTAGATTCAGTTTTTACAGGGTTCATGTGTAAGATTAAAAACCAGTTTTATTGGGTAGCACAAAAGATTTTAACAAATGCAGCATATACACAATTAGACAATGTAAAATACTCAGCTGAAAGGTTCTTTAAGTTGCAAAATGGTTATATAACCTCACAAGCTTTTGTTTGAAGCGCAGGCAATCGATCCCCTTGTGCAGTTGCAGTTACATATTCTTATTTGGATTAATGAACAGCAAGAGACATACATGAGTGCTCTGCAGTCTTACTTTGGTTATGATACTACAGAACTACTAAGCACCTGATACTCACACCTAGCGCTACAGATATTTGGCACTTCTGAAAACTCAAACTGTAATGGAGAGCTGATCACTATGTGTAACAGAGTAGATTAGTCAAACATGCAATTTTGAAAACACTATCAGACAGAGCCAGCAACAGATGGTTACAGAAATCTCAAGTTTCAAGTACTAAACAGCGTTTTTTTCTGTAGACATTAGATGTTAAAAAAAGAAAACGCCATTTCAAAACTTCTATACTTTGTTCGAAATAAACTCATACCTGGAAATACCAACTTCTCTTCTCTCTGTTTATACGTGCTCATTTCTTAAAGGAATGAGTTTATATCATAGCAGCAAAGAAGATTTTCGGAAGAAATCTTCTATTTTTCATGGTTTGCACATGTATACATTTTCATCCCTGCATAACGAAATCAATTCTATTCACTACATCTATGTTTCTATTTTTTTCTTTTTTTCTTTTTTCTTTTTTTTTTTTTTTTTTTTTTTTTTTTTTTTTTTTTTTTTTTTTCATACACCTGTAACTAGTGCATAGTTCTTGGTTTCATAAAGACTGCTATATTCTGATTGCCAGGGTGGGAAAATTTTAAAGCAGGACATTCTAACAGACTAACCTGTCCTCTCAAGCTCCCATATCTTTCCCTGTTTCAGACACACTAAAATCTCTCAAGACCCTATATGTAGTATTTCTCTAATCATTTTATTTGTGGTTCCACCTCATACTAGCCAAACAACATGTGTTAACTGCTACGTTTTACTTAACTGTGTACATTGATTCTTCACTCAGGGGCAATTATCACAACATTAAAATGTATTTTTGCTATCTCCATCCACATAGAATGTCTCAGGAACGTTTTTTAAATTGAGAAGGTTTTTAATTCAGTATGCTCAATGGCCCTTTCCTGTTCTGCCTGTATGGACAAGAAATTGAAGGACTAGGATGTGACAAGTGCCCCTTATTAAAATTAACATGAGGCAAGAAATATTTCACCTGAATTCAGAGACAAAATGTATCTTTTAAGGCTAATTTTCAGTACAAGCACATGAACAAGTAACCAGAAAGTATGGAGATACAAGGCCACATTTCACATACACCAACTTTTTGTGTATGCTTCTTTTCTGTGCTGTAGAAGTTGAGGGTATTTGAGGTAGTTCAGCTCTCTCCTATTGCTCAAACTTGGGCACTTTTTTTTCTGAGACCTGAATGTTTCACCAAATATGCAGTCTTTGTTGTTATGTTGGTGAGGTGGCTGATGTCAGCAAAGAGAGCAGTAGGGGATTTGTTTGTGTGACAAAGTCACTCCTCTTATGGAAAACACTTCAGCTGTTTTGACTGGCATTATCCTTCTCTCCTATAAGCCTGTTAAAGACACAGCTCAAACTGTGCTGGTTGTGAAAAGGGAAGAATAAAACAGCACCCCTGCAATTTCAGGGAATTTTGCTGTTTACATAGAATGTTTGGCAGCTGCAAGCATAGCCAGTGGTGATCTGTAGCCCGTGATCTGAGGCTATCACACACTTGTGCACATGCTTTGCAAAGCACAGGAGCTCAAACTGTTCTTGGCTGATTGCCTAAGTGTGGTAAGTAGCAGCCCTGCTAGATTCAAGAGTGTGCTGTCCTGTCATATGAAAACACAAAAGGCTCTAACTAGTGTTTCAGCTTTCTCTTGGCCAYGCAGAGCTGAGTTCTCACTTACAGTCTATGAGGGGAGGTGTTGGCTGTAAAGGCTGTAGAACACCCTACAGGTGACAAAACAGGGTCTTTCAGGGTTAGAGCTTCCACCACGAAGAGGCAGCAGCTGACAGCCAGAGTGCAAACAGGTGACTTGGGCAAAAACAAAACAGAGAAAAGGCARGGAAATCTGCAGGACAGGGCTTTCCGTGCCTTCTCCCTTCTGAGGATGAGCTGATAGCCCTTCCTCTGCCTATGGGAAATAGCTCTGGCATCCATGTAATGGTCACAAATACAGACAGAGCTGGATGCAAACCCCTCTGTGAGAGACTGAAAAACCTCATGCACCTGAAGACATGGAAGTGCTCTGAAATAACCCACTGTGACTAAACAGCAGGGAATAAGGGATCCTTCACTTCATGCTCTGAATGTGTCTTGTTGTTGGGCATTTTTCCATCAAATCATTATCTTAAGATAGCMTGGCAACTAAGGCAGACAGTTCACTCTCAGACAGGTCCTCCATATGCCTCTGCTACCATCCTCACTCACACAGTAAATGGTCCTGTTCCTGCTACAGTTTGTAACCTCAGTAAAACTTAGCTTGCCCTGGCTATTAGCTCAGTGTAAAATAGGGAACAATAAATATTTATTCCCATAATTCCTGGTTAGCAGGCTGAATCCCAGTCCTACAGTATCCCCTTACCAGCTGGGTTGTCAGTTGTGGTTGTTAGATAATGGTGTATTTTGTGCTGTGAAGAGTTAATAAGGGCAATTGCTTCTATCTTGCATTCCTAATTTGCTTCATCAGGTCGTTTCCATACTCCCTCCTCAACATGGGAGGAGTTTACTTTTCTGGGGAGTTGTCATTTGCAAGGAGCATACACCACTCTGACACCAAGCCAGGCATCACTCTTCAGGGTCACTGGAAAGCTTCATCATACCCCACGGGAAGAGAGGACGGGCCTGCCTTCCCCCAGTAGTCAATGGCACGCACTCTGTAAAAGCCGGAGACTGAGCTTCCTGCAAATGAAAAGGTTAGAAATGGTCACCGTGAAATGCTCACACCTGTAGTACTTGGAGGATATGAAACAGGCACTACTCCTGTAAAACCCAGGTTGGTGGAACAGGCTGGGGAAAAGTTTTGCACCCTAAGTAAGTGTGCCTATGCCTGTCTAATTAAAAGTTATAATAAATTCCTCAGAACTGGCTTTTTTATCTTGCATCAAGGACATCCTCTCTGCTTACTAGAATTTGCAAGTACAGCTACAGGACTGCTTTCCCAGCAGTCCCATTGGAAGAGGGCTATGACATCTGCAACACATAACTAGTCATCTCTTTCTTTTCTGACATACTTTTCTGCCTGAATTGTGCCTTTGGAACAGGTTATGTGTGGACAGGTTCAACAAAGAAGCAGAACAAGATGCACACAGGCTGACTGAAAACCCTCTGCTCTACTCAGGAAGAAGCTCCACTTACTTAAAAGGTATGTGAACTGATATTCTGTGGTTCTGTGGTTTTTATCCTTGATCCAGTTCAAAGAACACAGCTTTCCCTAGCAGAATCTTTGATCCCACAAGCAGTACAAATTTTGGGGTATTTTGTCTATCTAATTAATTAATGCATGCTTTAGTATTTTTATTCTAGAAGAAAAAGAATGCTAGTAGTAATGGGTGGGGAAGAAGTTCCTACAATAAGGGCTGTTGAGACATGGTATTTTTTCAAGCAGTCTTTTTTGTTGTTGGTTTTGAAATAAACAATTAAAACTAGTATATGATATTGTAATGAATAATAATTTCAGAGATGTGCCATAGCCATGATTTACAGTCTTTGCTTACCTGTGTAACCTTTACACTGCAATAATAGCTGTGAACTTTATTTTGCAACCACTGCTGATGTTAAGACTTTCTCAGGCTAGGATGAGCCTGTGTTTCTGGTAAAAAACATCTCTCAATTGCTTTTTATTAGTATTATTATGAGGCAAATTTTCTCTGTGTTTCCCCCAGCTCTCATCAGTACTTATTATCAATACTTGTCAGATGGTCATGTTGCAGACTAGACCACATTGCCTTAAAAAAAACCAAACCAAACCAACAAAAAATCAACAACCCACACCTCTACCCCACACCCCTCCAATAAAAAAATACCCAAATAAAACATTACTATATTCCTTTACCTGGATGTTTCTGGTCATGTTTTTTTGTAGGTTTTTTGTTATAGGTTTTGCATGTTTTCACAACAGCAACTAAAGTGCTCCTTAAGTTCTCAGGGACCTTGCCAAGCCTGCAGCTGGGTGACTTTGGCTTCTGTGACAAGAAATTACCCAAGGCACGGTACTAATAATGTCCTCATGACTTTTTGTCTACCTCTCTTTGTCCTTGAAAATTAAGGTCTCACTGAGAATACGGTCCAGAAGTAAGGGATGTGCTCTTGTTTTTGTTGGGACTGCATGTTGGGACCTAACTAGCGAGTTAGGTACCTTCAGTAGTTACTAAACAATGTTTCACACACTCATGAGCGGCAGGATCAACATAACGGATTACCTGAGTACCCTTGCCATACCTGGACTGTAGACCSAGAGAGTGAATATTGTGTCTTTGGCATTGATCCGCTGGTACGCTTTTCCATCTGATGAGAATTCCACTTCAAATGTCTTTATACACCTAGAAAAGGGGGGGGTAAAAACCAGAGAGGTTAGTAAATACAGCGGATAATGTGTTGAGCAATCAAATACTTGTCTTAAGGCTATTTCTATACAAAGGACAAAAATAGGAAATGTTCAGCTGACTCATTCCTACCAAATGCAGGATGGCCTGAATTGTCAGTATTAGGAAGAACCAGGGTTCCAACAGCCCACAGAAGAACACCCAGGCTTGCTACTTTGGGTATATGCAGCAACACAAAATGCTATGCATCCTTCTCTTAGACACCAGGATTATCAATCATGAAGAATCTAGGGAGACTGATCTGAAAACGAGCTAAGTCACTGCCTCCTAAGGTAATCTGGTTGTACACTGGATCACCTTTCAGAGCTCATCTACAGAGGGTTTCCAGTCAAGTCCAGTTTGCTGAAGCAACGAGTTGGAGGTTTTCTCTTCCAGTTCACATCCCTCACAGAGATATGCAAGATATCACTTAGGCATCTGAGGATAATATAGCTTTTACCATGAATATTCCTGCCTGCTAGGCTGAAGGCAAGTCCCTCAGAAATGACATTGAATGCTGGTGAGCAACAGGCAGATTCCTTTAGTTAGGGAGCAAATTAGTCCAGGTTGCTCTTTACAGTTTGTGCATGCAGGTCCAACAGCTCATTTTGTCATACAAATGCACTGTACATCTATCAAGGAGTAATCATTCATTAAYCTATTAATTTGTTTCACTCTGTAGGGCTTGTAGAAACTTAGGGAGTAATATGCTGGTAACTCATTTGTATTCATTTTATTTTAAAGCTACTTACTTTGACTTTACACAGTCATCGTCCCACAGCACAATAACCTGCCCCTTTGTGAGAGGGATCAAACGAACACCAGTCACCTGTCCAGAGACACAAGCCCATGTAAGAAATCCATGCCCAAACCAGTCAGCCAGGTCAGATTTCTGTGCTCATCCTTCCTTATTAATTATTTGATTTTTTTCCCATTGAGATCAGGTGTGAAAACAAAATTCTCGGCTCTGTAGCTTTCTGTAGCCTATGTCTCCTACTTGTTAACCTTGCAGAGGACCTTCAGAGGCTCTCGGTAGCACTATGAACATGGGTGAGACTGAACGAGCAGATACAGATGTCTGACAGTCATGATTCCATTTTATCTTAAGCTGTCAATTATTAATTGGAGATCTGTTGTCATACTTTGTAGCATATTGTGTGGTTTTTAAAAAGATTCTGCACTTTTCAGTACTGTATTATTAATTTCCCACAATCTCAGTGACAGCTTCTATACAGTATTTATCTTGAATTATATCTTGGAGAGCCTTCTCATCAAAGGGGAGAAGAACTTTTATTTACTAAGTCTTACACAGTACTTTTAACAAATAGTTGACTTAAATGTTCAACCTGGTTTTCTTAGCAGGAAGTAAGTTTCTATTTTGATAAGTCCAACAGTGGAATACAACACATACTTGATCAGGAGCAGATCTGGGTCTTGCACAGATGTGGAGAAGAAAGACTGAGGGAATGGGAAAGACTTGTTTCAGTGTCAGGATGCCACCTTCAGGAAATGAGAATGGGCCTGTTGTCAGTGGGTCCTGTGGAGCCGAAAAGTAGGGCTGTGAAAAGTCTTTCATTATAGCACCTAAAGCCTGCTACATCAGTATAAAGTGCCTGTGTACTTACTTTAGGACTTTAAATTTCCCATAGAGTTAGTGCTGCTAATGCTTATACACAGAGTTCTTCAAGCTGGGAGACTTTTCAATCTCACCTGCTCTCCAGCTCTTCAGAAAACAGAAGGTTTGTCCATCTCACAAACTGGGCTGATAACAAATGCCCTTAGGCACAATCTGTCACTTCTGGTAATCTCCCACAGATGCCTTTCAGGCTAAAGGTAATTTACAAACCATGTCCCTATTCTTCCCAGTGTGCAGATAGCTACAGCTATTGCTAGCTACAACAGCCTAACARCAAGTCTCTGAGGATGAGGTTGTACCAGAGACCCAAGAGTATCTAAATTCTTGCTGCTGCCCTTTTTTGAGGAAGAGCTGATGTCTCCTACAGTATCCAACAGGTCTTAGCAATAGTCAGTCACAGTGACTCGGAAAACACAGTACTGTATACCAAAGYCAGAAGGCAAGTACTCTCTGTGGGCCCTGAAGGGGACAAAGATGCCCTCCTTTTTTAACCTGGGAATCTGAATGCATAGGGTRAAAACTGTGGGAGAGGGAGGTGAAGTGACAAGCTTCTCATATACATGGCTCACATCTGCATGGCTTTTATCTGTAAGGAGGAGTTCTCAGAGAAGACTTACTCCGTTATTACCTCTGTGGTGCATTCAGCACTAGTAAGGAAGAGGAAAACCTACCTGTAGGTCTTCCTGTGAGCCTCTCAGAGTCTTCTGAACTTGCATTGAGTAGTTTTTACCTCAGGGTGTTTTCTATTATTAGGCAGGTTCATTTCAACTCCCTAATGCAGCAATTTGGCCCTTCTTTAATATACACACTGCCACGTGATTTATTTGGGGAGACCGAACATAAAGAGTCCCCAGGCTCATTGAAGATACAGAAAGAGAAGGCAGAACTTCCCCAGGAGCAAATGCATTCTTATTTTATGGGTTGGCCCAAAGCAAAGAGGTTGTGTAACACAAATGCAAAGGCATAAGCTGTATATCAGCTACACTTTTCCGCATGACTGCAAGAACATTTTTGTGTGCATATGAAAAGTGCATGACTGTGAACTAAGGAAATTTTGACTATAGGCCTGATTTCTTGTCTTTTTCACACACACATTACCCATACAACACTTTAAGCAAACACAGAATCATACCTCAGCATCCCTTATTTGCTGGAACTGTTCTGGAGAAGGGAAGTCAGGGCTTCCAAGGTTTTTCCACTTCAGATAGGGATTGGTTTGGTTGTTATCCATATAGTATGTCACATATACCATCTCTATAGGAAAACAAATGAAAGAAAGTAAACCCTTTACTTGAGCAAAGAATAAAGTGTGTAAGTCTACATTCTCAAAAGTGATTTCAGCACTTTGGCGCCTAACTTCCACTGGAAAGTCCCATGGTGAGCACTCCATGAGGCTCTACAATTTACATTTGCCAAGTTCACATTTCAGACTATTACTTCCACAACCAGAACTTGAAATCCTCTTTTTGCACAGGTGCTGCATGCATTTTTTGGGTAACTTCATCAGCTGTGCAATTGTGTGCTTGTGTTGGCTGTCTTGAAGTCACCTCATTAAGAGAATTTCTGCATGTAAATACCCAGCCAAAGACACTGAGATCAACACTTTTCTAAAAAGGTAGCACTTGGCAGCTGCCATTAAAGGCAGGGTCAAAGTGTGGGCATTAGGAATGAACCTTTCAAAGAAGAACACCATTATACCTCAGAAAATCTATGMGTGCACAAAAAGTGAGAGAAAGTTAGCATAGGAAATTCACTCTGGCAGTGAAAGGCAACTCAGGAGAAATTTCCCAACTGATATTCTATCTTACAGATCACTTAACGTGAGCTGCCTGCATAATATTTGTTTACCTCCAAGTCTGGGGAAGTGGGTGGCATTCACTAGGACTGTGCTGACGTTGGATGAAGTTCTGTTATCCTCACTTGAATACATCAGTATAGTAGCTTGCCAGCTGTCTGAGGGCTGTGTCTCACTTGGGGTATGTACAGATGCCAGCACACCAACTGTGCTGTTTTGAGCACTCTCATCTCCATTGATCCTCACTTCTGCAAAAATCTGCTTTTCTCCTTTAAAAAACATGACAACCGTAAGCATTGCTGTTAGTCCTGTATCCGAAGCTGGAGGGTCAAAGAGGTTGAGCATAGGTCAAGCTCTGTTCTGCCTTATTTTACCAGTTATAGCACTCAGTCAGATTTATCTTACAATGACAGAGCATGCTACAGCAACTCTTATGCTTAGCAGTTCAGCTAGCAACATTAAAACAAATGACACTGAATGAGGTTCTTCCTGTAATATCCTGCACGGGTCTTCCAGCTGCAGGGATTTCATAAAGACAGTTGCTGTCTGATGGGATTACCTCTTGCATCACAAGAAGGAAGTACCAGTCACCTAAAAACAAGTGGTTGGCACACAGAAGGTATAAACAAAGCAGTAAGTTAAATCAAATGGATAACAAACAATCAGGAATATTTTCTGACTAACCATCTCTCTAAGGAAATGAAGTTTCCTTTTCTTAACATAGCTAGTGAACAGTGAATAGGAGAACCCCTGCTTTTATGAATGGTGAGATATCTGGAACAATCTTTCTTAGGCAAGGAGCTTCTAGGTAGGAGGAGTTATTGATGAGCTCCTTWATCAGTGGCTACTATACCTTGCAGTGCCAGCAAGCCCATGGCAGTCAGCACTGGTTTCCGCACCATCTGGACATGAGGTGGCTTTGTATTGTTCATTTGAAAACGTGCTGTCAGAGTCCGCTGTGTGAAATAATGGGGGTAGTAGCTCAAGAAGGCATTGTCATTACTCAGCAATGAGTAGTTGATGGTGTTGTTGGCTTTGGAAATGAGCAGATTTTGATGCTGGATGATTACCTGCAAAGTCACAGAGAAACAGGATCTTCACCCTGGAGAAAATCCAACAAATATGCAGTGCCTGTATTTTTTAAAAACCTTTACGGCTTTCAGGAAAGAACTGTTACCCTGCCTTTTACAAAAGACTGAAGAAAAAGCTGCTCATCAATGGTTGGAAAACAGTTCGCAACTGTTGGAAAAACTATACTTTAGGTGATATACTAATCACTGTGAAATCTGATGTATCTACATTAGTTTTGCCAGTAATAAGTCTCTGAAATAATTATTACTAGTACTCTCCATAAATAATGAATGGAATTCCTTTTCTACTGCACTACAAATGATGATCCTTTGTCTTGAATACTGAATTAGTAATCAGGATTTACCATCTAATTAATGTGAATTAAATCTAAATGGTTCTCCAAATCTGGAGTTACTTTGTACCCACTACACCAGTGTCTGTGAGCTGGTTCTGGATTCTGTTTCTCAATTAGTAATTTCTCCCACTTGGTGCTAACTTGGAACAAATTCTCCTCATATTTCACTGGTTGCTGTGCTGCATACCTTCTCTGCAAAACACCAGAGATCCCAAGCTCTCTGTATCACTGAACAGTCTCACAATGTGTCCTTGAAGGAACACAGGATTTCAGCTTCCATTTATCCAAGCATTAATTTTTCATTGGATGTGTCTTTCTTTCTCCCTTCATATCACCACATCATTACAATCACCATTATTTTGTCTTGCAAACTCTCTGTGATGTAGTCAATGACTTCTTGCCTTAGAGAATCCTGCTTGTATATTTAGTCTCAGGGAGCTAGGAGCCTTTATCTACCAGGAGCAGCTGATAAGATGTCTTTTGTTTTCTGGGTGCCATACACGCTCCTGTATTCAGGAATTATTCCTTTGCACAGGAGTAATGGGACTATATGTGCTGTATAAGGTAGTGCTGTATAACAAAGCTCCAGGCCTGCAGTGGAAATTATTGCTATGTAGAGGAAGAGCTGAGCTTGCTCTGGGGCCAGGGTTCAATTCCTGCAAAGGCAGGAATGTTGACAATTCTCTTCTGCTTTTCTGGTGAACATCAGTGATTACTACCAGTAATTAACATGACCATGTGTATAGCCAATACCCAAAACCAAAGAATGGACACCTACGCTGAGAGCTCAAGGGATTTCTTAGTTATATCTGATGTCTCTTGATGAGATAAACTTATGAAGGAGCTGGGAAATAATGTCTCACATATGTGAGGTGACAGCTAGCAGTACTGACATCAGAGCAGTACTATTACATGGAGACGGCATGTGTGGTAGTAATCTTATCAGATGGATCTAACTGGGGGACTGTATACGTTCTCCAACTCAGCTCTCTAGCACTCCTCTGAACAAGTTTTCAGTTTGGTTTTGGGTTGGATTTTTTTTTAAGGAAAGATGAAGAAAACTAATACAAATTAGATCAAGCTACTAAAACCAGACTATTCAGGGAAACCCCCACTGTATCAGCAGGGAGCTCTCCTTTTTTAGGATCTAATAGTCTGAATAGCCGCTTAAAAATTAACTGTTAAGTCTACTTTTTCAACTGCATTAATGATCAGGAGACACTACTGTGCCAAGACTACCAGTGAACTGTTACCTTTACAACCATAGCTGCATAGGTCACATCAGCTCGCCAGAGTTGTGGAATAGACCATCCAACCATTGGATCTGCTTCATCATTGTATATGGCAATAGAAGAAAAACTTGGAAACAGCTTCTGAATTTGTTGAACTGCTTCTTCTTCTTGTTGCAAGATGGAGAGAGAATTCCCACCTCCCTGGAACAATATTTCATATCTGATTAGTAGTAGTGAGAAAACAGTGRTAAACAGACAGACGTACCTAGAGTCATAAACTTAAAACATGTCCTGAAAACATATTCCTGGGTCACCAAGTTGCTGTGGAAAAACACTATTAGTATTTTTACCTCATCTACTACAGYGTGTGCTGTTAGTATAAGCTCATTCTAGAATATAAAATAGAAAAGAAGTAGAGGAGTTGTTTCCCCTGGGGAATTAGGCAAAGGCAAATTTGCTTTAAGGCTTGTAACTGAATGTAGTCAAAGTTTAGCAAAAATAGGTAGTCATGCCTCCTGCTATGGGCTGGACACTCATGATCATCACCATCAACTTCATAAATCAGAACAAAATGTAACTTGGACTGATTGAAAAAATGGTTTTAAACTGAAATATTGGACTAACCTTCTTATGGAGAGAGATGTAATCCAGCCTGACACCAGTCTCCCCTGTGAAGAAGTTGGTCCCATTGTAGCAATGACACAGAAGACTCCAGCATATGGGTGACTTGGGTAAAGGATGGAAGGAATCCCCAGGCCCTCCAAATTTTAAAAAAGGACTGGCTGTTCTTAATCCTTCTGAGCAAGCATCATAATAGTTGAGAAACCCTGAAGTTCAAGCAGATGTATTTATCAAAGATAATAACTCAAAACAGAAACTGGATCTAAAACTATAAGGAGATGTTACAACCCCATTATTTGATTTATTGACAGGACCTCACAAAGTGAGATTACCCTTTCCTATGAACTGAAAACACAAGAAGACATCAAAACCTCAGCTGCCTGCTTTCAAAAGGTTCTTCCAAAGGTCTTGTATGGACAGGTTCCCAAAGCATGCAAATGTCAATGAAGAGTTTTCCTCTTATTCCACACTTGACCGCCTTACTGCTACTAATCAGTGCTAACAGTACTAATGGTGCCTTACATCCAATTAATGAACTTCATCTTCTTAGTGCAACTCCTTTTTGGTTTTTTACTGCTCCATTACCCCTGATGCTCTAGCAGGGAATAAACTGCAGCTAGCAACATGACCTTACCAAAAAGATTTGGTGTACCTGTCACATTCCATATCACTCCTCTCAACCTTACTTCTTTGTCAGTATAATGTCCCACTGCCACTCCTCCACTTACCCCACACACCTGTTTAACCTGATCATATTAGTAAGTGCTCCAAAACATGCTCACCTTCTACTGTCATGGACACATTGTCAAAGTTGTGGTGGTCTGGTTCATTCCATGTTTCAAAATTCCATTTAGCAACATGCTCCAGTCCATACCTATCTGTAGGAGAGGCCTCATTTATCAGTGAGCTGCATATCCAGACAGTACTACCAACAAGTGACTTATTCAGATAATTCTATTAGTTAGGGCTGCAGGTAAGGCTCAGCACACAGAACTACCACTACATAATTTCCCTCACTATTTTTAATAGTGAGGGAAATGTGATTTGGGAGTTTCGAAATGATCTCTCCTTTTCTATGAAGTGCAGCAATATTTGAAAAAGACTGAAGGTGAATTACAGCTTTGTGATTAGGGCACTCACCTACCCTTAATTCAGGTTGAGCCTTCTGCCTCGTTAGAAATATTTGAAGCTGGCATACACAAGTATTAAGGTTATCATGCTCCAGTGAAAGCTGGTGGTTTACAACCACAACAATGAAGCAAGGTTAAAAGTCTGTCCTTGGAGGCAGGCCAAATATGCTACCCAGAACACTCATTCTGAATGGATCAGTAAAAAGTACTACTATGATCCCATGGTATCCATGGTCTGTTCTGGAATATTTTCTGGCAGATTTTGTGTTGAAATGCAGGGTCTTGAAATTGAACACAATACACAGAACTTTGGGAGGTAGATAAGAAAGGATTATAACAGAATAAATAACAAGGCTTTTATATTTTTTACTTACCTATGTATCTCCTGGCCAGAATGGTAATTAAGTTTCTCCATTTTACTACCTGTTCTTTATCTTCAAAATCTGAAAAATATCCTGACGGATTCCCCATAAATTCAAATCCTAAAAAAAGAATAAGTAATTGGTCTCCTTTCTTTGTGAATGCTTTCTCATTTTGACTAATGAAGGGGTTATCACATCATCTTAAACAAACTTGTTAATGAAGAAGCATTATAAAATGGGCTCTCCTTCCTGTTTTYACGTGTTTCCACCAGAAATATTTCGTATTTGATGCTGTTTACTTGTTACTTGTCAGTAACTATGGTAATCAAAACTAATATTWGCTAACATAAATGCTGGGCTTAGAGGAAACTTGAAACAGTGGATTTGCATAAATTCATGGGAAGTTATAGCTCGAGTATGGCCCTYTTAGATAAATGTCAGTGGGTGCAAAGCCTTCTCCACTTCAAGAGATCTCAATTAACAGATTCATCCATCTGAAACTGACTTCACAGATAATGTAAAACCATTTGTGCTGTCTTAATTGCCACAATACCATTTTGCTCACACTGTACATTTGCATGGACATGAGGTAAAGGCAARTAAAAAGATAATGGATTTTTATCAAAACCAGCTTTGGAAAAGCTGTCAAAGAATTTTTGAATTATTGTACCACCTGGGCAAACAGATATACCAAGCTGTGAAGGCAGGGAGCCGCCCTTACCTGGAATCAGTTTATTTTCCCACAGGTGATCCATAAGGTTATCCAAGGCAGTAAAATTGTAATAAAGTTTGCCATTCATCACTCTGAAGAACGAAAGTAATAAAAATTACAAATACAAATATTATAGCAAAGATACAACTTGATAGTAGGCAATAAGTCAGATGGCTTCCTTCTCAAAATTTATATTTGACTTGGATTCTTGGAATTGTACACAAACTTCCTTCCTCTAAGGTAACAGGTATTCACCATAAGCAAGTCATGTCTCTTGACCAATCCATGCCCTTCTCCTATGCTTGCAACAATAAAAGCAAAATAATGGATTTGCTTCCTGAATTCTCATTTTTTAATGAATTACTAAGACCCAAAATTCTTTGCTGAAATGAAATTTACATAGATTTTCTTTTTTRGTTAAGCTGTTACTCAGTTTCCATTGGATTACCTAGTGCTAGGCCAGCTCTTTCCATACTGCCCCATATGCAGTCCTTCATGTTCTCCTAATTTGCAATACATAATACAGATTTCTTAGTAGCACTTTTTATGGGTTAGGTTCAGCTGAAAAATAACTTTGTATCTTCCAAAGAATGCTGAATTTATGAACACATGTGTAATTTTTACTTTACTGTAAGCATTTGCTTAGTATTTTCCTGTACTCCCAAGACCTCAGGCTGCAAATCTTTCATCCAGCTTTGTCTAAAAGCATTCACAGACTTAGCAGCCCTATGATGCATCTCTCTCTGTCAAGGAATCTTGCAGGAACACAGGTATTAAAATTTGGACATACACATGCATGAGAACACTGGAGTTTTTTTACCTAGGGGATGGAAAATGGCATTTGCAATTTATACGTGATACACTTGAAGATTTGCTTTTAATTCCTGAAAGGCTTTTTTTGCCTGGCATCCAGTAGAAACAAATATAAAGTGTAGGTCAGTTTCCCATAACTTCTGAACTTATGGCCAGATTTAACTGAAATTTGAAAGGTCTGGAGAATYTTTGCCAGTATGAAATGCCAAATRGGAATTAACGATGAACTTCTGTTGAGAATGTTCTGTTATTGTGACTTAGAGCTGTTTGGCCCAAGTGACAGCTTTGGCGTGGTGGCCAAATCCTGTGCTCCATACCAAAAGGCTTTGTAAGCACCCTTGACGTAAGTCCAGCCCTGGTCATACAGCAGCACTGAGCAGAGCCTTGACAACACCTCTCAAAGCTGATCTCTCCAGCCATGCAAGGGCACTACACCTAACTTTTCTGCCACAGTGCAGCCTGACCAGTTTTCTGCAGTCTTGCCTGCTCTTTGTGAGGCACTTTGCTTGGATGGAAAACTGTACAAGTGAACTACAGATGCAATGCCCCCGATATGATGGAAGGGGGAGAGACAATCACAGTYCTTGCAACTGATCAATGCTACCAACATGACAAGCACACAGGATTAGACATGAGAACGGAGCCATCAACAGAGCTCTTAAATCAATGGTAGGCTCAGTGCTGAGAGTCACAACTTGTTTCTTTCTATGCCTCCCCATGCATTTCCGAGCCTCTTTGACAGAAGCTCTTCCTCTGTGCTTTCTTGTCAAGGAAAGGTTTCAGTGAAGAAATTGTAATAGCAGTTCCAAATTCTCAGAGAATTAAGAATGGCTGACAGCATTGCCTGGTGAATAAATAAGGGAACTGTGAAATCGGAAGAAGACAAATCTCTGGCCATGGTCTAGAAAAGGTGGAAAGGGCAAGCAAAATAAATGTAACATAAGCYATATCCACTGTGCCAGTTCCACATGTTTATGTAATGAAGCACACAGTCTTAGCCCCAGACTGGTCACACTCTTTTACCAAACACCTGAAGCAGCCTTTTTTCTTTTTAAGTATGTCCTACTACCATGACAGAAATTGTCATGTATGCAGTCACTAACGGGCTTAGAGCTCCTGCCCAAGTCAAATGGTGCAACTGTAAAAGAAACCAATAKCAGAAAGAAATTTATTTGCTTTAGTATTCTTGAAAACATTTTAAAAGTCACTGTTGAACTAAAGAATGGCCATTTGGAACCAGGGKTTTTTTGCTTAGACAGAGGTTTAAAAAATCCTATTCCAAAGTTCAAATATTTCTTTTTGCAAAAGTTAGCTCTACTCCCTCAGATCCATTAACTACTTCCAGTTGTACCCTGTGTTCTATTGAAATATTTGCTTACATGCACACTTACAGTCAGTGTGCCTAAGAATTATTAACCACAGCTTCTTGTCGAAAGTTAGTAATGCCCTTTAGATAAAAACAAAGGAACTAGGGTCTTCCTGACTCCTATCTAAGGTCTACACAGTATTATGTGAAAATACATGCATAAACAAAACTTTCTGTTTGATGCCTGTACACGGAAGATCCCAGGACATATACATTTTTCTTACTGCATCAAGTAATGCATTTGAAACAGAATGCCACTGCCAGCCATGACTGAGWGATGGTACATAAGAGCTTGCGTTATGTGTGTTGGTGTGGTGGCATTTCTTATGTCCTTTGGCTGATCTGTCATTTTATAAGAATCTCTTTTTCCTCCCAAGTGGACCAGACAGTATTCTCCCATCGATAAAATGATTACTTGACTGACAGGGCTGACACTTCCTCAGATTTTGATCTTATCCTTACCCATACTACTTTTCTGATGCAAGATTGATGCATCTTTATAGCATATATGGTGCTGTTATAAATTAGGTTGCATGGTTGCCTGCCACACAATGACTGGAAGCCATGCTGACTGTTGTACTTGAGGCACAGAAACTGGTACTATTTACAAACATTCTGCATGGAGAAGATTAGCTCAATTGCCATGTTCTTTCCAGGAGTGCTTCAAAGACAATTTTAGGACACTAAAGGCCAGATCAAAACYGTTACAGACATGTGAGAAGATAAATCCCTGGGATTGTTCATTGTCTACTGTTGGGTACTCTGGATGTCAAGCAGCAGGTACTGTCCTGTCTGTGTCTGGCTTTCAACTGTTCCACAACTGGGGTTTTTCTGGGACACTTCCTAAGATGACATTCTTCRTCTTCAGCCATCAAAAACAACTACACCTAAGCACATTTACCAGCATCCTGTCACCAAGGCCCACAGAAGCACCCGGCCTGTGGCTGCTATATTCCAAAGACTGTTGCCTGCTTGGTGAGGTGTATTTCTAGTCTTTGTCATGGTCTCAATTCCAGATCCCTTTCTATGTCCTGCCTCTTGGGAGCAACAATCACGCTGTGAACATGAAGAGCAGTGATAAGCACAGACAGATGTCCACTAGTGTCCACTAGCTGTCACAAAATCTTGTTACTCCTTTCCTCAGAATGGCTTGCTTTGTGGACAACCCGCTGCTGAATCAAAGGCTCTGGGCCCATCTTAACAGTTTTCCGCTACCTCCTAGTACTGAAGTAGRGTTTTTTCAAGGATGGAGGGAAATTATTTTCAGGTGCATAGGTGGCTACYAGACAACTTGCCAAAGAGTTCGAAGACACTCGTGTAGTACCTCTTATCTATCTATGCCACTTTCAGCCTATTCCCATTCACAAACTTAATCTCTTGGGAGAGGAGAGGTAAGTTAGCTTTAGCTAGCAAGTCAACACCTTGCATCACAGCCAGATTTGCTCCAGTTAACACAGCTACAGATATTACTCCTTAGCCTACAGCTATAGCTTCTCTCTCATACCCAGCTTCTCTTCTGCCCTGGGTTGATTTTGTCCAGAAATAGGGTTGCATGCCCTGGAAAACAAGTGCACACACAGACATTGGACCAAATATCCCATCTACAGAAAAGAGTGAACAAAAATCACACACAGGGAGTGTTTCCATTCCAGATGATCAAGTTAATGAATCTCGGTAACATGTCAAGCTAACTTTAACAGACTTTATTGTAATGTACTGAACTAAATTTCCTGTGATAAGAAGCCTTGTGAYTAACTCCTTTCAGTAGGTCACAGACCATTTAGGAAGTCAAATGTACCTTGTGAGGTAACCACCAACAGAAATATTCCGTTGAAGAGAGACTATGATAAAGATGATTGGGAAATACCAATATAGTGGAATAGTACCTTCCTCATCCTGACATTCTCACTCAGCTGGTATGGTCTCCCTTTTGTATTTCTGGTGAACACTGTTACCACACACATCAAAATATGACATAATCTGACTTGCTTTCATCCATGTTTGAGAACACTCTCTCTTCTGGCAGATTGGCCATAGTGGCTGGCTAACACCACTCCCACAGCAGCAAGCCTGCTTACATCCTCACTGGGAACTTCTCCTTGGAAATGTAGTCAAGTTGCAAATGTAGTCAAGAAGCAAAGAAGTAAGTGACTACTGTCAGGAGCATCCATAGGTACAATGTTCCAAAGAATTGCTAACCACATTTCTAGAATCCATTATGTCATTTGAGGGACCATAAAACTCCAGAACACGCACAAGTGTCCATCTATCCTGGAAAGGACTTCACTGTCCAAAGTCAAGCTGTTCCCTGGAAACAAACAACAATAATCTTTCAAATGTTCCCGTAACAATAACTGTTGAGGAACAAACAATAATCTAAGCCATTTCAAATTCTTTTGGCTTCAAGGTCCTCTAGAAGGAATGGTCTTCAGAAGTACCTGTCTTGTTTTTCAGCCAGAATACATTGTTGAATGGACAGGTAAGCATGTAACCTTAAGGCAGAGCATCTACAAGGTGAAGGTCAAAAGCTCTGGATAGAAAATGTCAACAAGCTTATTTTTTCCAGAAGGGAAAAAAGGCCCTTGCTCTCCAAGTGCCTCTTAGAAAACAAAAAGGTGTTACCTCCTTGGTTTTTCTAATCAGTTTTGCATCTATGAGGAATGAAATKATGCCAGTTTAAAGTTCACATTGTTACAGAGACTTTGCTTGCTCCAAACCCACCAATTGTCTACATAAGTTTCTTGTTCTGCTGAGTACTTTGGAAGGTACCTCTGGACCTTAAAAGCAGACCTTCACAGGGACTGTGAGCACTATTGAAATGATACCTCCAAGTATATGAAGGGCAGAAGAGCCCTCATTAACATTCACCTTCCCAGAGGCTAAATTCTCAGCAGTTCTCTCTAGGTTTCTTCA